TTTTTTTGTGTCTGTTACCACTTTTTCTCAGCTCTCACCGAACCGATTTCTTTTAATGATACGTCAAAAGATCACATATCGTATCTAGTCGAAGAAATTACCCTCAAAAATTGAAAAAAATTCCCTCGTTCCCCGTAAATGGGGGAAACCTCTAAAAAAATTACAAATTTAAAAATCGCTAATTTTCGAAATTTTTAAAAAAATTTTTACTTAAAAGAGCCATAACTTTTTCAAAAATGAACAAATCAATATAGATTTATTTTTATATAGATGCATGATATCATTACCTTTCATTTGGTATATTTTTTTTTTATATCTGACCCTTTACCTGCCCACGGGGGGGATTTAAAATGACAACTTTTGACAAAAAATTAATTTTTTCAACTTGACTTTTGAAAAAGTCTGACACTTTTATATATAATATATAATATAATATATAATATATATTAAAAATTAAATATTTATTTAAAAAAAGGAAAAAAAAAACATGTTTTCAAAATTAAAATTTTTAATGTAAAGTTATAAGCAATTATTAAACAGTAATACAAAATCCTCAGATTTTACCACAATGAACATGTGAGAATATCTGAGTTTTTTTCTCTCTTTCTCATCTTCTATGTTATTCCTAAATGAGTACTGAGCCAGTACATATGAAGAAACTGTCCAAGTGTTAATCAATATGCATTGAGCAGAAATGTTACTGGTAAAATTATGTATTTTGATAGATTAAACAGCAAAATACATAGTATTTATGAGCCATTAAAAATTTTAAATAACTGCCGTCAAATGATGCTACTGCCTATAAATCTGTAGATTGACAAGAAACGTTTATTTTGAGAATTAAATAAGTTTTAGATTTTTCCTTTATTGCTCTATAAATCTTCCTTTGTATCTATATCACGTTTCTACCTATAATGTTGATGATGATTATATCAGTTGGTCAGTAAAAGAAAGGAAAAAATTTTAATTTTTAATTTTATAATGGTTCAATATTAATGGTTAATTATTTTACATTGTTTTATGCTACTAGAGCCTAATTTAGGTTTTAAATTTCAAAAGCTTATCTTAAAAAGAAAAAAAGATTTAGAAATTAGAAAAATGCGGCGAATTTGTTTCACTCTAATTTTATATCTTTTAGTAATAAGATATTATGATCAAACAATATTTATTATAAAGTTATTATTTACTTTTTCATAAAAAAGAACTTAGTTTTAATATAGAGGATTAAAATTTTGATTATTTATACTATATTTATTTTCTTTATAAAATAGTATTTTGACATATTAACACTACATGGTAATTAATTAATTTTATCATTAAAAACATTGATATTGTTTATTATTATTATGTCCTGATTGAAGTTGCTTGTAATATTGTAATACCTCTATTAATTTATTTTTATGTTAGGCCATTGTATTTTGTGTTACTTTTATTGATCTTTGTATTACATTGCCTAATTAATTTCAACAAATTTTAAATTAATTAAAGTTTAAATTCATTTGTTTAAAAAAAATTGAATGTTATTTATATTATTATTTTTAATAGTTTGAAGAAGCCTACAAATTTTATCAAGAAGCATGTGAAAAACAAGTTGTTTTATCTATTGATGCTTATAATTCAATTATTCGAACAGCATTATATATTAAAGAAGGCACTGATCATAAATGGATGCATATACAAGTAACTAGATTCCTTAATACATTTTAAAACCATATAGAATAAAAATTCAAGCAAAAACAAAATTGTTTTGCACTTTTATTTATTTATAATTAAATTGTTGATTTCAAAATTCCTGAAGTCAATTTTTACTTTTAGATAATCAACAAAACCTGTTTAGGTTTATTTTAGTTGTTAAAATATGGGGAAAATCTGCCTATGCACTCAAACCTGTAAATAATTTGTGCATACCTCATACCGAATTATGGTAATTAGGTTTCATCATAGAAGTATCATTACCATTGTTTAATATAGCTATATTATGTTACTCTATATTTACAGGGTGATTAGTGTTAAGTAAGATACTTATTTGCCTAGAAACTATTGAGAATTTTTAATTTTTGTAAAGACAAAAATTATTTGATTCAAAAATTTGAAGTAATATGTGATTTAATAATGTAATTTTTTCATCCTTTTATTGTTTTTTTATTCTTATAATTTTTTTTATTGGATATATCTTTCGTCAGTTACAGTATGTTGTATTTTAGCAACTTGAGAGTAATTTGTTAATAATATTTTATTGTTATAAATAACAAAAGCCTAATTTTTCCCTTTTTATAAAATGACAATTAGTAGTGATAGTATTTTTTGGAATCCAATCAATAGTGAAGAAATTAATAATCTTATTGGAAATTAATAATCATAATAAAATTTTTGTTTTTCTGACCCTTTAATTTTTTTTAATTTTATTAAGCAAACATTTTTGTGAAGTTTTGTTGTGAATGGTCAACTCCTTCTTATTTGTAAAATAAACAAAAAAAGAAGTTCTATTGTTTTTTACTTATATTAACAAAAAAAACAACTTTAAAAATAAACTAATTTGTAGATCTAAATATTTTCTATAAAAAATATTCTTAAATATTTTGTTGTATGTAAGTTTTTAATATGTAAAATTTAAAAGTATACAATATTTTACATATTCAACAATATCTTTTTTTTTTTTATATAATTTGGATATCATTGATTACACTACAATAAGTATCTTACAAATTTATATAAATTAAATTAATAAGAAAATAGGGATGTTGTAAAATTTCAAATTAACTTACTTTCTTATTTATTTAGCAAAATTTGCCTAATAAATTGGCAATAATAATAAAATAATATTGATTTTTTTCTCATTAATTTTAGTACCTAAAAACTATTTCTAATTAAAATTTATTATTTATTTAGACACAAATAGTAAATCAATTTGGAGGTGCTAAATGTAATTTCTTTTACTTTAAAAATATTTTATAGAACCACTTTTTTTAGTATGTGTAAGTTCTAAAGTATTAGAACAGTTGGCAGTTTCATAAAAATACAATTCGTATAATATATTATAATTAATATATTAACAGTTTCCTAAACTAACTTTTTGGTACAGAATGCCTTTAGCAAAGATTTACCAGTTGTTACAAACATCATTGATTATATTATATCGTGTGATAATCTCCAGCGTCTTGCTTTACTCACCTCTTTGCTCACCCAGCACGGCAAATCGATGACCTCTGTGTACAGTTCATTGTCGTAAGTCAGATAGTCAATTTGTTTTGTGTGTTATTCTTTTCTGTAGCAAGCGCCTTCGTTTTTAATAGTAAATTGTTCGGCTATTGTACGCCGTTAATCTTATTATTTGTTTATTGCATCTTTGTGCTCAAAGTTCTTGTGTCCTTGCATGCCACTAATGATTGGGCCCTGACCATTACTAAATAACTTCATTGCCGTAGTCGTTTTACCGCCGTCTGTTCTCATCTGCCATAACGTGCCAGGGTCTTCACTCTGACTCGTGATAATTAGATGTTTGACACCATTACCATAAGATCTCATACAGTCCACTCATCACTATTAACAACTTCATCTATTCAGCTGAGTTTATATTATTTTAATGTTATTTATTGTTTGTTTTGATTGAGATTAACTATTTTTTTGTTTTATGCTGCTTCACCGACCATTAGTATTTAAGGGCTCCCTCTTTCCCTTATATTTTAGATACTCTCTGAATATATGTGGTTATTTTTTTTTTAATTATTGTCTACTCTCGTTTACTTATTGGATGTACAGTTAGCAATCAACCCTCAGGTGGTCCATTCCCACTTCAATAATAGCGATTTAAACAGACTTAAAATAAAACGGCATTCTAGTGCGGTGCACAACTAGCCGTCCTACGGTCTAGCTGCCTTGTACAAAATACTAACTATACTGAAAATATATAATTTTTCAAACTTTAAAATCTCTTATTTAGGTATTAATTTTTGTCATTTTTATCCATATATTCTAGAGACCTCATATATTAATGCTCACATTAGAATTTATTTGTTCAAAGAATTTAAAAACTTATATTATATATTGTAATATAATTTTCATCTAGTTAACTTTAGTTTGTTTATTTTTTTAATTTTTAGAAAATCTTAAACAAAATGAATGAGTGTGGATTATCTATGAATATTGGGACACTTAATTCAGTTCTTAATGTTTTATCAAATGTTATATCTAACTCAGAAATAAAAACATATGCATTGAGTACTATTTCAGAAGCAAAAAAACTCAATATTGATCCCAGTTTGGCAACATACTATTATCTTCTTAAAATATTTTGTTCTGACAGTTTGTTAAATATAAAATAATTTCTACTAATTACACCAACATTATATTTTAAATGTTTTTAGGAAAAAATAAGAGTACAATATTAGTGGATATACTTAATATACTTGAAGGAAAATCACTCATTATCAAAGATATAGTTGATACTAATTTTTTTATGGCTGCCATGGAAAATTGCAGATATCATTTACAAGATTTTAATGTAGCTCTTCGTGTTCATGCTATTTTATTAGAAAATAATAATTATAATTTGATTGGGGACTCATACAAAGAATCAATTTACTAGTAATGATATTTTATGACAATAATTAATATTTTCTTGTCTTGTAATTTTTTTTTTATTAGTCGTCATTTTTTTGCAATTTTATGTCAAAATGAGTCAGTTGAAACACTTATGAAGTATTATGAAGACTTAGTACCTCATATCTATATTCCGGAACCAGCGATTACTGAGGTGTATTTCTTTGTCTAATTATTAAAATACTTATGTCTCTTTAAGATATTTCCTATAAAAATATGCAAATCATGAAAATTACAATTTATTTAAAAAATTTTATAATAAAATATTTCTATGGAGACATTAATTTTTGCTTTGATAGTATGGTCTATTTGTTTTAAAATTAACAAAAATATTTTATAGTTATTAAAAAAAATAACAATTCTTTTTCTATTGTTTTGTAAAAACAGTTAATGTAATTTTAATTCTAGATGATAATAAAAGTAATTAATTCATCTGCTGCTGTTGAACTGTACCCAAAATTGTGGTCAGATATTTTAATGTTTGATCAAGCTGATCGAGAACCAATTATTACAGAATTAACCAATGGTCTAGCTCAAAATTTGTTTCCAAGTTTTAATTTATCTATCAAATCAAAAATTGGTCAATTAGGTTTTAGTATTTATAATGGAATAGAAGAACGACAACAAGTTGGGAAAATAAAAATGCCGTAAGTCAATTATTTAAAATATTAATTCTAAATATTGAAAAAAAATTATGCTAACTTATTTAATCCTTATAAACTAGTTATTATTATTTTATTTAATAGAAATAGACATTTTAAAATTAATTATAGTATAAAAATATAAAATTAATTAAAGCCAAGAGTATAATAAAAATAACTACTATAGTTTTAGCCATAGGCCATCATCAGGTTACTTTTGCAAAAATTTATAAAAAAAAAACTCAGTACACATAAACATGATTATAATAACAAATAATAAATCACGCTGATCGAAATATATATATATAAAAAATATAAAATTGGTATTAAAAGGGCAAATTATAAAAATATGTTTTATAAATTTGTCTAAAGTACTGACTAGAAGAAATTTGTAACTTTCATGGCGCATTGAACAATTAAAAATAAAAGGGTCGCCAACCCACTGGGCGAGACAATGTATTGTCGGACCACAATAGTATTTTACAAAGAAATTAAATTTTATGCATTAAAAACAATTTTAAAATAAATAGAAAAGTATTAAAGATTGAAGTCGATGTCCGTTGAGTCGGTGATAGTAGATGTACACCAAAACCTCGTAACAGTTGTCACATAACCATAATAATGAGGGATGACCTTATACAAGGCTGTTGCCCGTACTTTATAAACTAAGGGGAGTTGATTTTTGAAATGAAAAAAGATAAAAAAATACACGAGTCCATTGAAGATGGAACACGTAAAAAAATAAGATGATAGTTAAGTTAAATTAAGGGGACTTCATTAAAAAAAAACAAAAAAAATTTTGTTAATACGAGGCAAAAAACCAAATGGTCAAAAAATCTCGTCTACAAATTAAAGGGGAACAGAGAGAAAAAGAAAAAAAAACCCAGCACAGGAGAGTCGCGACACAGTGGTGACGTGGCATAGTTGGATCAAGTATAATGATATCTGACAGTGATTAAAATCACTATAAAAAAAACGCTTCGATGCAACTCTTTAGATAGTGTTTAATTTTAAAAAATTGGTGGATTATTCCAAAAGCTACATGATCTGCTATTTTCTTATTAATATCCTGAATGAAAAAGGGATTATTAAAAAATATTATTTCTCATAAAAAAATTGTGTTGATCCATACACTTTTCAATAAGTTATAGCATTATAAAGTTAAAAATGTAAAAAATAAAATCAAGAATTTATACACGAATAGCATTCGGTGGCCATTTTCACCACCAAGACAAGTCCAGAGGTCAAATTCTTTTTTTCATTATAAAGTATATTATATTATATTTAATTTAAAATATATATAAAAGTGTCAGTATTTCCGGAACACTTTCAAAAGTTAAGCTGAAAAAGTTGTCATTTTAAATCCTCTCCTGTAGGCAGGTAAAGGGTTAAATTTATAAAAAAAATATACCAAATGATAGGTAAAGATATCAAGCATTTTATTAAAAAAAAATTATATTGATATGTTCATTTTTGAAAAAGTTATGGCAGTTTTTAGTAAAAAAAGTGAAAAAAATGACAAAATTTACCGATTTTTAAAATTGTAATTTTTTTGGAGATTTGTGATTGGAGAGCTGAGAAAAAGTAGTGACAGACACATAAAAAAAATAAATATATAAATACATCATGGTAAAATTAATACCTTCTCAGATTTGCATCGAAGCTAAAAATATATAAAATAATTAAAAATTTGTTTAATTAATTTTTTTCTTCTTTTAAATAAAATATGAATAAAAGATGTATATAAATACTACTTCTCATGAAAAAAATGTATTGATCCATACATTTTTCAAAAAGTTATAGCATAATAAAGTTAAAAATTTAAAATACAAAATCAAGAATTTTCACATAAAAATAGCATATGGTAGCCATTTTCACCGTGAAGATAAAATAAAGTATATGACATTAGCTTTAATTTAAGGTATATATAAAAGTGTCAGTGTTTCCGGAACATTTTCAAAAGTTAAGTTGAAAAAGTTAATTTTTTGTAAAAAAGTTACCATTTTGAAACCCTTTCTGTGGACTGTTAAAGTGTCAAATGTTCACAAAAATATATNCGAAGCTAAAATAGGGGCACCTAAAAAAAAAATTTAATAAAAAAACAATTCGCTACACATGCTTAAGGCACGGCGCACTAAAAAAATAGGTATGGCTCAAAACATAAAATAATAAATTATACATTACCAGTCCCAAAAAATCGAAAAATGGTGGCAGGATTAGCTGACGCCATTAATCAAACAATTACATATTAAATAAATATACTTTAAAAAAACTAAAAAACACGCTTTTAAAGAACATCGAACTAAAAAGTTAAAAATAATTTTTAAAATAAGTGTAAAACAATAATGATCGAAAAGTACTAGTATTATAGTGATAAAAGTGTCCGGCGCTCAATATACGAAAAATATAGCACAAAGCACCCACGCTTTTATCACAATAATACTAGTACTTTTCGTTCATTAATTTTTTAAGCTTATTTTAAAAATTATTTTGAACTTTTTATTTCGATGTGCGTGTTTTTTTAAGGTATATTTATTTTTCACATTTTAGTTACATGTCATGATAGTAGTTACTATCAATATCATGGTTGTAACGGGTAAAGGGGAATCAGGGTTCGATTCCGGAGAGGGAGTCTGAGAAACGGTTACCACATCAAAGAAAAGCAGCAGGCGCGTAAATTACCCACTCCCGGAACATGGAGGTAGTGACGAAAATTGACGATACTGGATTCGTCCTTTGTAATCGGAATAAATGACTTACTGAACACCCTGTATATTTTTAATAATAATTAGAATATATAGGTGTTCAGTAAATAAGGAAACGAATTTCTATTGTACTCATTGTTTGTAACAATTTAACTGTTTCCTAACTTACTGAACACCTGTATACATGTAAAACGACTTAAGTACGTAAACATATCATGCATTAGGTACAGTCGTGTTTTGTGGACGGGCGGGTCGGACTAACGTTATACCTGAGGTATAAACGGCGGTAGGAATATACAGGGTGTTCAGTAAGTCAGGAAACGGGTTTCTATTGTTCTCATTGTTTGTAACAATGATATGTTATGCATGATATGTTTCTATTGTTCTCATTGTTTGTAACAATGAGAACAATAGAAACCCGTTTCCTGACTTACTGAACACCTGTATACGTAAGCCGTATGGCACGCGGATGGTATTGGTCAGTCAAAATAAAAATTTGTTTATATATATATAATATTGATGACACGCACGTGTGTACGGGTACGATGACCAAAAATAAATGTTTACAGGAATAGTATTGCCGGCGTTTGTTGAGCGAGGCGTGGGGTGGGGTGAATGCGTTATGACAGTCTAGTCTCAACGTCATAGTCGACGGGATACGCGACATAATAATACGTGTCGCGTGGAGTTACAAACTTGCAACAAACAAACAACATACATGTGAAACTAAATAAGCGTGTTAAAAAAACATACCGCTACGGACGAAAATTAGCGTACCAGTTCCGATAATGGCTAATTTCCGACAAAACGTCAGGCGTTTGACCCGGCGGTCCGTTGGCGACAACACGGCTAGCCTTTAGAGTAGGGGTCAAAAAATTAAATACCCAGTGCCGGAAATTACTAAGAACAATTTGAATCAAAGGCTAGAGGTGTGGAGATCAGCTCTTAAAGAAAAGGATTTAAGAATAAGTAGAAGTAAGACAGTGTATATAGAGTACGAGTTTGATAAAGGAGAATACGAGGTAGGTGATCAGTGACAATAGGTGATGACGTGATTGGTGAGGTGGGAAATGTTAAGTATTTTGGATCAGTTGTGCAAAAGAGCGGTGGTATTGACGAGGATGTATGACATAGGATTAAGTGCTGGTGGAGGTTGAGTGGAGAGAAGCGTCTGGTGTCTTATGCGGTAAAAGAATTCCTATGAGACTGAAAGTTAAATTCTATAAAACTGTAGTGAGACCAGCTATGTTGTATGATTTAGAGTGTTGGGCAATTGACAAGAAAGAAGATAAAGAAGATATATTTCTTAATTTATTTTATCCCTCTTTGTTAATACTTTATTAAAGTATCAACTTTATATTTTTCAATGGCAAAATACGTATTTAACTTGTTTATTAAATAAAAAAATGGTCTAATTAAGAAAATGTTTGGTCAATAACAACTTTTGGCTCATTATTTCAAAAGTTATTGCGATTTAAATTGTAGACTGAAACTAATCAACCAAATCAAATTGGAGTGGCTAGTGTTAAAAGAATCACCTTGTGGACATCTAAATTATTCATATTTATACATATCATTTAACGTGCTATCAACTTAATTTTTAAATAATAGTTTTTTAACATAAAGCAAGTTATTATTTATTAATATTTGATATACTCCATTTATGTCAATAGAGTTCGAAACCCTACTTATTTGCATTTATATCTGTAATTATATTTAATTAAAAATTTTGTTACTTATTTTTTTATTTTATCCATCCAAATCACCTTTAAGAACCTTAGCTTTCCTCATATTTCTAAAATCTAAAATAACGCACCTATTTTTGATAATTTATTGGTATTTAAATAAATAATTACTTAAATGTTTGTTTCAAAAATTTTAAAACAAGTACTAGAAATTTTAAATATTTATCTTATATATTATTATAATTGCAATTATTTAAGGTGTTTTATTATTTTCTAATATTTTTTCCATTATTTTATCTTTGCAATGATATTTATATTTAATGAACAAAATTATTTTACATATTTTTTGTTTCAGCTGGACGGGTGTTATGTTGGGAAATTTAATAGATATTTGTTTGTTTGGAAATTGTATTGAAGATGCTGCTAAAATAATAAACAAATTACATAGAAATCAAAATGAAATCATTGGTGTTCCTAGTAGTCAAACAATCAGTAATTATATTAATTACTGTATTGAAAATAGTCATTTCAATGAATTAATAGTAAGTTATTTAATTTTTTACAATTGAATTAAATTGAAGTTAATTAAATCTGAAAATCAGAGTATATTTTTCTTTATATAGAGAAAGTAAACTAAATTTTGATAGTTTTTTTTTTATTTTTGATATTTTAAATAACTTATATTATTGTAGCAAATAGCTGAGAAAGTGTTAAATAACTTCAATATTAGTATACTATAAGTTTTAACACTATAGTAAACGATTTTTAAATTCTTAAGTAATATAATAATGTTATATAAAAGGAAATTGCAGGGCAATTTAATAATTTAATAATGGTTGGAAAAAAAATATATTAAGATAAACATGAAAAGTAAGGAGGACGGATTGACGTTTCGACTAAGAAACGTCTAGTTACGGGTCAGGACGTTTAGTGTGTGAAACTTTGTATTCTGAACTGTTTAATTTATATTGTGTTATATTGTTATTTTGTATTTTGATTTTGTGTTTATTACGTTTCGTAAATAAAAGATAACTATTGGAAAATCAGCACTTAGTATAAATACTTTATATCCACCGTGTTATTAAAATTGTGTGTGTGTGTGCGGCAAGAGTCAAGGTTGGACTGCTTGTCCTTTAGTCGATTTTAACAATTAGTGTGCGTGCTGGCTAGTTTTTGGGTTTCGCCGTTCTTTAGTAAGTATAGTAAAAAGGTAGTTGTGCTGGTGGCTAACAAGGAGCCACCCTTCAGTCTGCTACTTTTGAGCTAGACCGTGCGACGGGTTTAAAACCTACCCCTTTAGTGGTTCACTAATTGAAGGGATTGAGGCTGATCAGTGTACCCAACAAGAGGACTCGAGAAGAGCCAAAAGCGATGAACTTGTCATTAAAAGTATTAATTAATTTGTGTATTTTTTTTTGTCTACATCGCGGAGCTACCGACGTACAACATAGTTTAGTGAATAATTTTAATAAAATTTTTGTATCTGTAAATATTTGCAGATTATATATGTATTATTAATTGTCTTTGTATTCTGTTTTATATAGAAATGTATTGAATATGCATTGGAAGTTGAATACATAGAAATTGATGAATTCATTTCAAAAATACTTAAGGAAATGTCTCTGACGCCGATGCAGCAAACTCATTTATCCAAACTTATAGGAACTGAATACTTTCATAATATAGTCAATAAAAACAGTTAATCTATTTAAAGTTCTTTTTTTGTTAGAAAATTATTACGTTTTATATATAATAAAGGTAATTTTAGTAGTTAATTATTATACTAATTTCTGATTTATAAAATTGCAAATTAAATGTCACGGCGGTCCACAATCTGTTATGGCGTCCATATAGCGATTTAATATAAGCGTTACAGAGGTTTGTGGCTTGGAGAGAAAAAAGTAATGTGGTACAGATCGCCAGTTTAAAGAGATGTATGATTTATTTCATTTAGAAGTTCATAAAAAAAGACTTCTTTGGCCATTTTATAAATGAACGTATTAAGTTAAAATTTACACCTCCGCGTTCTTCACATTTTGGAGGGTTCTTGGAGTCTGCTGTTAATAGCACGAAGTGGTTTATAAAAAGATTATATCTATTAAACTGTTAGTGTAGAGTAAATAAGTTTCCTCAGCAAATATGGAAACGCTGGAGTAGCGAATATCATTCACAATTTCAAACTCGCTAAAAATGGGCAAATGAAAAGGGATTTAACTGTCAGTGGGTTCCATCGTCTTAATAAAATAAGAATATCACAGCCCTCTGATTTGGTGATTGAGCCGATTATTGAGTTCTACTTGTGGTAAGGATGGCGTGATCTGCGTAGCAAGGGTAAAAACAATACAATTCGAATTATAAGTCCATTTCTGATTGAAATTGGTTGATTTATTTATTAAAATTTATATTCGTCAATTTAAATGATTTTTTTTTTAGATAAATTATATATTGATTTAGTTAATCAAAGTGGGGGCTTAGTTGATATTGTTAAATTAAAAAACCCAACATAGTGGAGACGTGGCATAGTTAGGTCAAGTATAATGATATCTGACATTGAGTAAAATCACAATCATAAAAAACGCTTCGATGCAAATCTGTAAATAGTGTTTAATTTTAAAAAATTGATGGATTAGTCCAAATACTACATGATATCCTATATTCTTATTTATTTCCTGATTACAAGTTTTATGATCTATAAGTGTAATATATGAATAAATAAATAAATTTTTTTGGTTCTTTAAAGTTGATGAAAAATTTTTGATAAAGATTTATGAAAATTTATAGTAAAAGAAATTCATTATATTACCATAACTTTTAGATCAATTAGAAGTTTAAAATTGACATCTAGGCCAGTCAACAAAGGAAAAATTGCGGAAAAAATTTCCAAACAAATTTTGTTTTTTTAAAAGTTGAATAAAAATATGTATAATGACATACTAATAGTCCTCAAATTGGAATTGAGATTTTTTTTTTACAGGCTCGCAAAAGTTCAAAAATATGAGCTTTTTTAATTTTCTCAAAAAATATTTAATTTACAAAAAAAAGTTTCATACAAAATTTGTTTAAAAGACAATTATAAACAAAAAAATTTTCTTATATTTTTTCATTTAAACAAATATTTTTCGAGTTACATTACATTTAATGTGAGTACTAAAATTTATATTCCATTTTTTTCATTTTACGGTTACTTTTTATCATGTTATACTTACATTAGACACAATGTTATAAATGCATATGTGTGTGTTTATTTATTTATTGTATCATTAAAGTGTAGTGTAAATTAATATACAACCGATAGAGTAGGTAATTTATTTGACGCTATATTGTTTAAACCCAACTAAACGCTAAATTGTACATTCCCAAACAACAATCATATTATGTCAATTGCCACCGGAATTTCTGGTAATATTTTTCTTTTTCTTTGCCTTAATCCCAACTACTTGGGGTCGGCCACCCTTATCCTAAGCTTCCACTTGACACGATCTCCCACATCATCTACGCTCACATCAGCTGTCCTCAAATCGCATTCAATAGCATCCCTCCATCTCTTTTTTGGTCTTCCTCTATCTCTTCTTCCTTCAACATTCATTTCTATAACTGTTCTTACAGCTTTCGATTCTTCTTTCCTCATACCATGACTAAACAATCTAAGTCTATTTTCTGTCATCTTATCCACGATTGACGCAACACCTATACTTCCTCTTATATGCTCGTTCCTTATCCTATCTTCTCTAGTCACTCCACTCATCCAACTAAGCATTCTCATCTCTGCTACACTTATTCTCTGCTCTACTTTCTTATCAACCGCCCAACACTATNCCCCGTAAACGGGGGAAATCCCCCAAAAAATTACAAATTTAAAAATCGCTAATTTTCGATATTTTTTCAATTTTTTTTACTTAAAATTGCCATAACTTTTTTAAAAATGACCTAATCAATATATATATTTTTTTATAGATACCTTAGATATTTACCTATCATTTTATATATTTTTGTGAACATTTGACCCTTTAACAGCCCACATGAAGGGTTTCAAAATGGTAGCTTTTTTTAAAAAAATAACTTTTTCAACTTAACTTTTGAAAATGTTCTGGAAAGACTGACACTTTTATATATACCTTAAATTAAAGCTAATGTAATATACTTTAATTTGAAAAAAAAAATTTTGTCCTCTGGACTTGTCTTCATGGTGAAAATGACTACCGTATGCAAAAATATGCTATTTTTGTGAAAAAATTTTTGATATTATATTTTACATTTTTTAACATTATGTTGCTATAACTTTTTAAAAAATGCATGAATCAACTTTATTCTTTAATGATAAATACTTTATATATACTTCTTTCATTCGACATACTTTTTTTTAAAATCGGACCATTTCCCTTTATACAGGGGGGGTGCAAACCTTTTAAAATGCGTATAGAAAGTAGAACTTTTTCAACTTAACTTTTGAAAATGTTCCGGAAAGACTGACACTTTTATATATATCTTAAATTAAAGCTTNACTGAGTAGGTATTAATTTTACTATGATGTGTTTTTTTATTTTTTTGTGTGTGTCTGTGAACGCTCAATCTCAGCTCTCGCTGGACCGATTTTGATGAATATGTCAAAAGATCACACATCGTATCTAGTCGAAGACATTACCCTCAAAAATTGAAATAAATTCCCTCGTTCACCGTAAACAGGGGCAATCCCCCAAAAAATTACAAATTTAAAAATGGTTAATTTTCGATATTTTTTCAATTTTTTTTTACTTAAAATTGCCATAACTTTTTTTTTTTCATAGTAAAGTATATAATATAAGCTTTAATTTAAGATTAAATAAAACTGATAATAATTCCGGAACATTTTCAAAAGTTAAGTTGAAAAAGTTAGTTTTTGTATTTTAAATACCCCTCTTTGAGCAGGTTAAGTGTTAGATTTAAAAAAAAATGATATCAAATGAAAGGGAAATATCTAAGGTTTTAATATAAAAAAATATTATTTTGATTTGTTAATATTTGAAAAAGTTATGGCAGTTTTAAGTACAAAAAATGACAAAATTTATCGATTTTTTTGGATATTTCCCCCATTTGCGGGGAACTAGGGAAAATTTTTCAATTTTTAAAGGTAATGTCTTCAACTAGATACGATTTGTGATCTTTTGACGTATTGTTAAGAGAAATCGGTCCAGTGAGAGCTGAGAAAAAGTGGCAACAGACATAAAAAAAAAACTCATCATGGTAAAATTAATACCTTCTCAAGTTCGCATAGAAGCTAAAACAGCTATAGATTTACAAAGAAAATATAAATCATAAGAATAAAACATGAAAATAAGGTAATTACATAATACAAATTCCTTTATTAAACTAAAGTAAAAATTGCAGAGATCATGCAAATTAATTTAAAAGAATAAAAATTTAAGTTAGACAATTGAAGTAATAATAAAAAGTTTCGAAAAATTTTTATAATTATTTATGTTCCTACATTAAATAAATATTAATCATATAATTCAATATATGATTTTATTTACATTTTAAGTTTAAAAATATCAATATATATATAAATGTATAGTATAAAATAATATTATTTGAATAACTCTAGTTTAATAAAGTAATTACTTAAAATAATATTAACAAATGATATGGTAAACATAAAAATGTTGAATAAACGTGTATTATATGGACGTTCATATTATACAATAACAAAATATAAACATATTAATTAGTTATAAAAAAAATTGACTATTTTGTATGTAGTTGTGTTTCATTTTTTTGTTCATTAACATCATTTGATGTACTATCAGTTTGTGCTACATATGAGCTTACTTGAGTAGGTACAGCCATACCTTCATCAATAAGTTTTTGTCTTTCTCTTAGCATTGATGCTTTCATATTACTCATTTGGTGATAGTAACAAAGTTTACACAAAGAACAAACAGTTAAACCAATCCAGCATGACCACGAAGCCCATATACCAAACTGCAACAAAAAGCAAAATTTCTTTTAAACATAATTGAATAAATTCACACAAAACTATAGTAAAAAAAACGGTAGCACAGTGGGGTCGAGGCACAGTGTGGACGAGGCATAGATGGGACAAGTATAGATGATATCTGACAGTGATTAAAATCACTATCATAAGAAACGCTTCGATGCAAATCTGTAGATAGTGTTTC